CTTTTACTTCGTCAGTTCCTAACAATTTCCTTGCCTTTGTGTCCACAGTTGAACACTGACATTTCTAGAGTGGTACCCACAATGAGGTCTATAATTGCATTAACCCCCATGATCCCTGATGATCTCATGCTGGTTTGGTTTGCAGAGAGGTTTTCACGTGTGCAAATTGGATTTGTCAGGAGGAAAGTGAACCAGAAGTTTTGCTTTGAAGGTTCTCCAAAGGCACCCTGAAGGTATTTGTGTATCTGTTGTGGCATGAACCAATGTGTGGGCTACACTAACTCAAGGTCCCATACATTATACATAACATTATTTTTTGGGGGGAAATTGGAAGAGTTTGGATTGGAGGATCAGGCATCTGAGGAGAGACTGAAGGAGCCATCTTTGTTCAGCCTGGAGAAGACATTGTTAGGGGTTATCTAATTGCTGCTCACAACTTCCTAAGGGTAGGTATCAAGAAGATGGAGCCATATCCCTTTCAGAGGTGCAGAGTGGAAGGATGAGAGGTGATAGACACATTTTACAATGAAAAAAATTCTGCACAGATATAAGGAAAAAACCTCTCTCACAATGAGGTTTGTCAGACACTGGAGTGGGGGCCCAGAGAGTTTATAGAAACTCCATCCCCGTATAGATATTCAAACTCGACTTGAAAAACCTCTAAGCATTCTGTTCTATCTTTGAAACCGGTTCTGTCTGGAGGGATGGTTGGACCAGATGATCTCTAAACACCCATTCCAAATTACATTGTTTTATGTTTTAGTCAATAGCAAAATCCAAGTCAAAATGAACTCATACATTAATATAATAAAGATTTGAGGAGCCTGGGCACAGTATCTTAGGTCTAGAGATCCCTTCATATCTACTAATCTTCGTTGCACCAAGTCACTCAGTGACACACCCAATAGCTATCCAAAGTGACCAATACTAAACACTTTTTCAGATCATATTTTACTTTACACCTCATTTTAGTCAACAAACGAACGTTGTTCACGCAATATTTTAACGTGACACCTGAACTACATCATGATAAGTTATGATCCATTTGAAATTTTGGATGACTGGTGCTTCTAATGGACCATGATCTCTGCCGATGACACATCTTACAGATCATTTGGTTATCAAAATTAAATTGCAATATTTAATTGCTTATTGGTTCCTCAATTTAGTTACTAATCAGGTGATTTTTTCAACACTTTGATATTAATTTTTTAAGTATACAGAAATGTACACATGTGCATACACACACAGATACACATGGGTATACCCGCATGTGAAAACATGACTACAAATGATTTCCCTGAAATGTATATCCTAATAACTGAGATAGCTTTTTAGTCTCTATATATTTTAATGTGAACTGTGTTTTTCAGTAAGAAAAAAAAAGATAGTTGAATTTTGGGTGTATCTATGAACTTCTGGCCATAAAGCAGAAAATGGAAGGAATAAAATTGCAAAACTTGTGGTTACTTCACAGCTTGCCAAGAGTTTGTGGTTAGCTTGTCTACCAACTGTTACTATTACTCAACCTGATTCCTTAAGGAAACAAAGATGAAGCATTAATTTTTGCCATGTCCAAGGGCCTCTGTGTCGGTAATGTCAAGGACTTGACTTTAAGGCTGAGCATTCTTGACACTGATAAATATAAATTTCACATGGTCATTCCCATTGTTCCTCCCAGAGGAGGAATGGAGAACCTTGGACTGTCCAAAGCTCATAGTGCTGAAGCAGACCTTATCAAGATTTTGATCTGCGGCTCTTAGGTTGGATAACTCTTCCTTCCTCACCTTCAGCTCCTGTTCTTATGAGCAGGAGGCAGTCAGACAGTTCTGTGTATCCAAAGGGACGTATCAGTGTTTTGCCCTTCACAATCTCAGCATTTTAGTCTGGTGTCTTTTGCTGCTAAACCTTCCTTACACCAGGATCACAGTAGCTACTGTGCTTGGGATCCAGCCCAGCTAAGATGGGCAGTACCTCATGATTGTTTGGCTCTTGACATTAGGTAAGTAATTCTCTCCACCCAAAATGCCATCTGCTTTTTCACTGTGTTCAGTGCAGAAGGAAAGGGAGTCTCCAAGGAGACTTTCCTTCTGCTTAAAGAATGTATTTCTTTTGTTTTCTTGTTTCATCAAAGTTATATTTCTCTTGAAACGTGGAAAAGTCTTCACTCCAACTTTTTCAAGTTGGAGTTAACCAATGATCATAGAATCATTAAGGCTGGAAAAGACCTCTAAGATCATTCAGTCAGCCATATGATGCCACACTCCTACATCCATTTCAGGTCCAGACCACCTAGTCCTCTTTGGAGAAGGAGCAATGTAATGATGGAGTCAGCATTTCATGTAATAACGTGCTTAGAGTCCTGGGACAAGAAGTGATAAATAGAGCCTGAAGCACTGCTCTGCCTGATGCAAGTGGGATACACAACTGGGGGAACTGCCATCACAATGAGGCTGCAGAGTGTCATGAGGAGAAATGGCTTTCATTCTTTTCACATCAAGATGTTTGTTTAATTGTGCCAAGATCATTTCCCAGAGAGGA